TTCAGCTCAAGGCTAGCGCTCTACCACTTGAGCCACAGCACCACTTCCAGCTTTTTTCTTTTTGCTTATGTGGTGCTGAGGAATCGAACCCAAGTTCTCAGGCATGCAAGGCAAGCACTCTACACTGAGCCACCTTCCCAGCCCCATGTCCCTACTCTTCTAAAACAATTTCAACAGACATTATTTTTCTAGTCTTATGTATAAGCTTCTTGACCTCATTGACTCAGTTTGCCTTCCTTCCTTCCTTCCTTCCAGTGATACCCCAAAAAAGTAGCTAGAACTGTAATATTTTCATTAAATTGTGTTATTTTTGGAGAGCTTTAATTTTTGAAATAAAAACTTTTTTAATTACAGAAAGACCCAAATGGGACCAGCAGCTTGCTAAGTGGAAGTTCCCTCCTACAAGAACTTGAAGTACTGAATGAGGAGGTGGCAGCTTTTTGTCAATCCATTACAAAGTAAGAAACTTTCCTTTATAAATTTCAGATTCCTTAAATTTTCTACTGCGTATTGAAAAGATAATTTGAGAACCAGATTAGTGTTGTTTTTTTTAATTTTTTTCTTTTCTTTTTTTTAAATTTTTTTTGAGTATTTGTACAAAGAAGTTCCCATTCTACAAAACACTATAAGAGTACAAAATATTGGACAATGTTGTCACCCATCTCTCTTAACCCATCCCTTCTCTCACTTTTTTTTCTTTAATTGAGATTAGGTGATAACATAAATTTCACATATTTCACAGTATTGTGGAATAGTGATACTTAGAGTCACAAACACATTTTAACTTTCACAAGGCAAATAGTCATTATCATGGTCTATACAGTTTGTGAATTCTATGAGCTTTGACAGTACAAGTTATTTTTTTCCACATCAGGTGATGTTTACATTTCTTTCCTTTTGCTTAGTGTGGGCTGTTCCCACTTACTCTGTTCCTCCTCCTGGCTTCCCTCTGTTGCGTGCATATAGCTACCATATATATGATCCAGAACATGGAGTCATTTAGCAATGATATGGCAAAATGGGTGGCTGTCCTTTGTTTCTTGAGTCCTGTTTGCCATTTATTCTTGTATTTTGGCTTTAGCATCCACATATCAGGGAGACCATGTGCTATTTGTCTCTTTGTTATTAGCTTACTTCGCTCAAAATAATCTGCTCTAGTTCCATCCATTTCCCTGCAAATGCCATTATTTTGTCCCTTCTAATGGCTGCATAATAGTCCATTGTATATAGATACCACAATTTTTGGATCCACTCATCAGTAGTGGGGCATCTGGGTTGTTTCCAAATCTTGGCTATTGTGAACAGTACTGCAGTAAAGATGGAGGTGCATGTGTCTTTGCATACTGGCTCCTGTTGCTCAGGGTAAATGCCTAGGAGTGGTATGGCTGGGTCATAGGGGAGGTCTATAGTTAGCTTTCTGAGCTATCTCCAGACTGCTTTCCAAAGTGGTTGTATTAGTATACATTCCTACCAGCAATGCAGTAGGGTTCCTCTTTTCAGTATCCCCTTCAGCATTTGTCGTCGTTGGCTGACTTTAAGATGTGGGCCATTCTGACTGGGGTAAGGTGTTATCTCAGTGTTGTTTTCATTTGCATTTCCTTTACAGCCAGAGATGATGAACATTTCCTCACGTGTTTCTTTGCCATTTTTATCTCTTCTGAGAAGTCTCTTTTTTGTTCCCTTGCCCATTTCATGATTGGTTTGTTAATTTTGTGAGGGGTTAGTTACTTGAATTCCCTGTATATAATGGATATTAGACCCTTGACTGATATTTTGCTGGTAAATATTCATTCGCAATTAGTTGACTGTCTTTCTAGTTTGATTGCTATTTCTTTGTCTATGCAGAAACTTTTTATTTTAAGGTAGTCTCATTTGTTGAGTCTCTCTCCAATTTGTTGTGACTCTGGGACTCTGTTCAGGAAGTTCCTGTCTGTGCATATAAGTTCAAGTGTCTCTCCTACTCTGTCCTGCAGTAGTTTCAGAGTATCAGGTTTGATGTTAAGGTCTTTAATCCATTTTGAGTTGATGTTCGTGCATGGTGATAGGCTAGTGTCCACTTTCATTTTTCTGCATGTGGCCACCCAGTTTTCCCAGCACCAATAGTTGAAGAGGTTATGATTCTTCCACTGTATGTCTTTGGCTCCTTTGTCAAATATCAACTGATTGTATATATGCGGCTTTATTTCTGGGTCCTCTAGTCTGTTCCATTGGTCTTTGGGTCTCCAGATTAGTGTTAAAGTTTTGAGTTAATTAATAATTAACATTATCACAAACTCCAGATATACCTGAGTCTTTTTTTTTTTTTTGTCGGCCATGGATCTTGAACTCTGGGCCTGGGCGCTGTCTCTCAGCTCTTCAGCTCAAGGCTAATGCTCTACCACTTGAGCCATAGTACCCACTTCTGGCGTTTTCTATTTATGTGGTGCTGAGGAATCAATCCCAGGGCTTCATTCATGTGAGGCAAGCACTCTACCACTGAACCACCTTCCCAGCCCAAACCTGTGTCTTTACCTGTTCAGTTTCTGAATATTTAGAAGAAAAAAATAGAGTCAGGAATACATTTTTAATCCTCTTATTAGCCAGAGAAAATATGTCTTACATGTAGTTTCAGTACAGTTAGAAAATGCCTACTTTTGTTTTTAATGAGACATAATTTTTTTTGGGGAGAGGGTCCGGTCATGGGGCCTGAACTCATGGCCTGGGCACTGTCCCTCAGCTCTTCAGCTCAAGGCTAGCGCTCTACCACTTGAGCCACAGCGCCACTTCTGGCTTTTTTCTTTTTGCTTATATGGTGCTGAGGAATCGAACCCAGGACCTCATGCATGCAAGGCAAGTGCTCTACCACTGAGCCACCTTCCCAGCCCTGAGACATAATTTTCTCTTAAACTTTCTAAGATTCAAATACTGTCTTACTTATATTTAAGAGATGATGTTCTAGCAGACAAGATTACAAGTACAAATATATTTTCTAAAAATTAGAAATATGCAATTTTTTCAAGTACTTTCTGAGTCCTGTGTGTGCTCCCAATACAATATGCTCTTGTTTTCCCTTTCCCCACCTCAAATGCTGATGCTTGAAGTCAAGGCCTCAGGCTTATTTGATATGCTTACCACTTGAGCCATACCTCCAACCCAGCCTTTTGCTGGTTATCTTGGAGATGAGATTTTTCAGACTTCCCTCCCAGTGTCTTTGAATGTGATCCTCTAGATCTCAGCCCCTAGATCCTCTAGATCTCAGTCTGTACAACTATAAGTGTGAGCCACTAATGTAAGGTGCAATACAGTATTCTTTTTTTTTTTTTGGTCCGGTCGTGGGGCCTGAACTCTGGGCCTGGGCGCTGTCCCTCAGCTCTTCAGCTCAAGGCTAGCACTCTACCATGAGCCACAGCGCCACTTCCGGCTTTTTTTTCTTATGTGGTGCTGAGGAATCGAACCCAGGGCCTCGAGCATGCAAGGCAAGTGCTCTACCACTGAGCCACCTTCCCAGCCCACAGTGTTCTTTATAAATGAGAAAACTAAAACTAAAAAGTAATATAACAATGTTATTCTCTGCTAATCAGGACACAGCCAGGTCTTCTTTGCCTCTGGCTAAGTTTTATTTCCTTTATAACACTGTATTAGTGAAGACTTATGTTAAAAGTTCTAGAAACGCATCTTGAACTAACTTAAATCAAAGAGTCATCTCTGGGTTCACAGACCACTTAGCAGAAAGTGGAAAGATAAGGCAGAATTCAATAACAGTATCATCAAGGAATCTACATATTGTAAATCAACATCTTCTCTTCAGGTTCTTACTTCCTTTCTCTCCTTAGGTTAGCTTCATTTTCTTCTTCTGTGAGAACATGGGTAGTGAAGCTTATCCTTTTTTTGTTTTTGTGTTTTTAAGACAGAGTCTTTCTATGTAGCCTAGATTGCTGTGCACCATCATGACCAGCTTAGACATATTCTATGGTCTTTCTAACACAGCAGAAAAATGAATCTTCTCAACCGGTCAGACTGAAAAATCCCACAGAAGAGTGAAAGTTAATTAAATATGCTATCTAAAGCAAGGAAAGATGATCACCATTGAGGGATTTATTCTGAATTCACTGTGTTCTCTAGTGTGGTCTTTTATTTATTTATTTATTTTTTGGCTGGTGGTGGGGCTTGAACTCTGGGCTTGGACGCTGTCCCTGCACTCTTCAGCTCAAGGTGAGCGCTTGAGCCACAGCGCCACTTCTGGTTTTCTTATTGGAGATAAGAGTCTCACGGACTTTCCTGCCCAGGCTGGCTTTGAACCGTGATTCTCAGATCTCAGCCTCCTGAGTAGCTAGGGTTACAGGCATGAGCCACCGGCGCCCAGCTTGTGTGGTCTGTTTTTAAGTAGGGATTGGTGTTTCCAGTTCATTTTTGAGCTAATACATCATTGTAGTTAATGGCTTATAATCTTTTTATTTTAAATGGTTTAGAAATAATCTCATTATATTATCACATAGTTTCCTAAGATACTATTATATGGGAATACACATAACATTGTCACAATGAAACCATTATCTGTGCAATAAATTATTATGTGGTAATAAAAATTAAAAAGATACTAGAGGGGCTGGGAAGGTGGCTCAGTGGTAGAGCGCTTGCCCTGCATGCATGAGGCCCTGGGCTCGATTCCTCAGCACCACATAAGCAAAAAG